CTTATTGAATTTTTAAAAAGTTATATCGAAATAAATACCCAGAAAATCACCTAAAAAGATCATCTAAAAATTTCGGCTACAATTAGCAGCGTAGCAATGGATTAAACTGACAAGGGAAGCTTGACAACTCGACAATTTTTAAAACCCTGAATAAATATAATTTTAATACCCAGCATAAATATGGTCCATGCGAAGCTCACAATGGAGACAATTCTACAGGGTGTCCCAGGTTTTAATGTTCAAACTTTGTCAGTATATTCTATGGCACAAAGTAAGAAAAAAATGTTACGTAAACATAGGTCATATAGAGCTTTATTAAGAAGTTATAACAAAAATTCAGAATAGGAATAGTAATCAACTAAAAATAAAATAAAAAATAAAAAAAAATCTTCGATCGATGTCAATCATGTATTGTCAACAACGGTTATTAATACATTTCGAAATGTATTAATAAACACAGCTTACATAAACACACGGCATGTGCTGATCTATTCAAGCCAATGCTCGCAGTAACAGCAAGTTGATTACTATTCCTATCCTGAATTTTTGTTACAACTTCTTAATAAAGCTCTGTATGACCTATGTTTACATAACATTTTGTTCTTACTTTGTGCCATAGAATACGCTAACAAAGTTTGAACATTAAAACCTGGGACACCCTGTATATTTACGTAACTTGTTATTCAAGCCCTTCGTGAAGATAACTATATTCGATAACTTGCTTGATTCAAGTAAGTTGTAGAGCTGTTATCATTCTAGAATTGGCACTGTTAGTTCGCGAAATAGTGGACAACTGGTCCGGACCGCTATCGAAATCGGACCGTCAATTAATGTTGAAGAACGCAGAGATGAGTCGTTCGATATCCATCGTCTTGTCGAGTTTCGCCTACACGATGTACTTCGCGTTCGTGGTCCTGCAAGTGATGAGCAGCATCCAGAACTCTTCGAAAGCCGATTTGAAGGGGCTTCTACACCCGTCGATCTTTCCTTACGACACCGGAAAGAGTCCGAACTTGCAGATCAGCTGGCTGGGTCAGTTCATAGGCACCGGATCGATGGCACTTTGCTACTCCAGCTTCGACACGTTGCTTGCTATCCTCGTGGTACACTTGTGCGGACAATTATCCATTCTCAGGAACGCTCTGGAGGACCTGGCCAACAGAAACCATCAAGCGAAATTCAAGGAAAGGCTGGTCTACGTCGTGCACAGGCACAATGAGCTGTCGAGGTTTGTAATATTCGTTAAATAATATAATATATTATATTAATATAATATAATTAATTAATATTCGTAATATTTCTTTTATGTATTTTTAACACGGTCATGGCAACGTTCGAATCCAACGTAGCCCCTGGACCGTGTCTTTATTGCAATATTGTGGTTCAGTGCATATTTCATTCGTTTGTATCATAAGAAACGATCGCGTCAAATATGTACAGAGCGTCCCAAAATTATTGTACAAGCGGGAAATGAGTTCCTAAGATCGTTTGAAGCAATTTTTTCCTTTACAAAAATGTTCTTCGAAGCTTCGCTTACGAGTTATTAACGAAAAACGCTGACCAATCGTAGAGCGAGTGTGGCCAGCGCCCCGCCCTTTCGGCCAATGCCTCGTCGCGCCAGCCGTCTAACGCGGCGGCGGTGGTCACGAGGGCGGGGCATCACGGTTTGTCGTTAATAACTTGTAAACGAAGCCGCGGATTGCTTTTTCGCAAAGGAAAAAGTTACTTCAAATGACATTAGGAACCCCTCAAACAATAATTTAGGAACATCCTGTTATATGACTATGGTTTCCAGGTTTGGATACTAGATTCCAACTTTGCGAAGTGGGGGAACGTGTTCTCACCAGTGTTCACAGCAAAAGGAATTATGCAAGAAGTAACAATTTTACAATTAGACAAACGACCTATATAGATTTTGTCGAGATGTTAGAAGGTCTAATCTACCAGACAATTGAGGAAAAAAATGTTTGTAGAAATTGCGATTGGTCTAAATGACAAAAATAGTAAGGAAATGATATATTTGAGACCATGACAAAAATTTGAGCAATCAAATTACCACGTGTTCAGTGCCCTAAAAAACAATATTATCAGAAATTAGACAATCAAATAACAATGTTTATAGCGTGGCTCCGAATTGACCGAACTGGCTCGCAGCTCGGCCGAAAACATTTGGAGTAGATGTGTTAAACTGGTGAAAAAAGATATTTGACTTTGACATTTTGCATTCAAGGTTGGCCGTGATACTAGAAGAATGCTTCAACGTGATGCTGCTTGTGCAAACCATGATGTGCACGGTGATGTTGTGTATGACTGGATATCGTTTGATAAGTGTGCGTCTATGGAATCTATTGGGTTGGCAACTAAGTAATTGCCGATTTCAGTTATAGATGTCTCTCACTCCCATTTTTATGATATCCGTAAATGTTATATTATACAATTATTATTATTATTATTATGTTATTTTTTATTATCCGTGAATGTTAGCAACTGGACAAATTGAATGCAGCGGTCAAGGAAAAACGATCAGAATTGGTCAATCGTAAAGGTGTCATTTTCCAGCAGGACAATGCTAGGCCGCACACGTCTTTGTCCACTCGGCAAAAATTGATGGATATTGGTTGGGTATTGATGTTACACCCACCATATAGCCCTGATCTCGCGCCATCGAATTACCACTTATTTCGATCCCTGGACAACTCCCTTCGTGGTAAAACTTTTAA